ACGTTTCTTCATTTTTCTTTCTTTCTTTCTCTCTTTCTTCTTTCTTTCTTTCGTTGTTTTCTTTCTTCTTTCCTTCTTTCCTTCTTTTTGAGAAAATCTTTTTTTTCAAAATAGGTCAATGAACACCAAAACAAGAACCCAATGAAAAAATCCTCACCGATTTATCCGTCTCATTATTGTTATTACATTTATTTTATAACCTTTTTTGCTCTGTGCACCACATGTCTTTACAGCCTACAGATATTTTTTTACAGCTACGACAGGCTGGATCGCAATCAATATTTATTTTGTCCAAAGAAAAAAGACGCCTTACAACGTAAACCTTTTCTGACAATTAAAAACTACTAATATATTTCATATTTGATCAGGATATTATAACGGATGTAGTTTTCTTTATAGTTGATTAAAATCCCACAAGACGGTCTCAATTTGATTTACTATAACAACAGGCAAATGTCTCATTAAAGTAGAAAGTTACAGATTTGTTTGTAATTTTCTCTTTTAATGCCTTAGATATCAAGGGTTTAGATTTTACTTTCCCGCTAATATTAATGTTGAGTGTTTATTTAGACTACTATTCCTTACACATATGTACATTAATACATACGATATTGCACAGTAGTTTTCACCTCACAGATGAAGAAAAACAAGAATTATAGAAATAAAAAATTAAAAATAAAACGATTTTACCTTTGCTTCTATGATTCTATTCTTTTTCCTTTTTTAAACGTTTTGGGATAAAATAACAAGCAAGACAAACACGTTGCTTTTTTAATGGTTTAAGTCATTTTCTTTCGTTTCGCCATTTTCTAACACTGATAAAACTTTTATCAGTTGATTCATGCTGTCATTTATTAAGACGTCATGTTAAATTCACAGGAAAAAAAATGTTTAGAAAAATGGTTCCCTTCTCTCCTTTATTTAACTTTAACCGACCTTCGAGACTGCAGAGCATTCGTTTCTGCGCCCGTGACCAAAGGTCTTGTAATTGCTCCCATTCGATTCCTATTTAATTCAAAAATTAGGCTTGACTTTGTGATATTGCCGTTAAAGGTTAAAGTGGCTAGTCAGTTTTTTGTACTTTGTACCATTTTATTATTTCATATTTTCAGTGCATTTATTCATTTACTTTAGGCATTTCTTTTTCTTCTCAATTATTTCATTCTTTTTCCAAAGTGATTAATATGATTATTGATTACAAGTATTTGCCAGCTTTTTCTTTCTCTTTTTATTTCCCCTCTTTATTCCATTATCTTTCTTCCACTCATTCGTCCATTTACTTACTGACTCATAAAACACCACCTTCTCCTTTTCACCAACCACTATCGATTGTAAACGGACACCGAACAAAAGTTTCCCCTCAGATATATCCATTCATTCGTTCCCTTTGTATGTACTGGGTAACCTGCTCCGTAAAGGAAGCTATTTCGATCGTGTTACAGTTTCTTCCCATATCTTTTCTTTTTTCTGCGTAAAACCATTAAAGTAATAATAAGATTTTCCCCATTAAAATAAGATTACTTTTGTAACTACCACGGATAAAAAAAACTTCAACTAAATATATCGTTAAATTGCTTAGTATTGTGATTATAAAGCAATAAAACTAGTATAAAAAGATTACATTCTGATGACTTCTCACAAGAGGTAAGACACCCTATTTCACAAAGGCAATTCAGAGTCTTGTCGGCATTCTCTCTGCATAACTCATACGAAAGCAACAATTAATCAAGCTTTGTACTAATTGATTACCTGATAATTACGAGAGGAGAGAACTCTTTTTCCTTCCAAATCACCAAGACCTACAGTCAGTCCTTCCACATTAACAAATATTAACGAAGCTACAAGAAGGAAGACTACAAATCGAGTTCTTAGTTCCATTTTCTTGATCTTAACAAGGCGAAGTTTTTCTTTTTCTAAAAAGCTGTGAGTTTTTAAATACGATTTATTTGAGCTTCTAATAGTATTGATTGCTTAGAGTAAATCCTTTGGAAGATGTAAAATAAACCAATTTTGACTGGGGATTTCCTACACAATTTGAGTAATCTGATTAACTCTTTACGATCATAAGCGGCCTAAGGAAAGCCAAAACCATGCACCTTGATCAAGGATTTTGACCTCTGATAGAACACTCGTCTAATTCATAATTAGTTTTCAAAATCATAAATGCAGTTTTTCATTAGAGCAATCAAAATGAAATTTCTCAAGTAATCAAGACTTACATTTGATGTTTAAGATTTTTTCAAAGGTTTTTCTAGGGTTGTTGTGTTTATTAGCGTGTTTATCTTCACCTATTTATTTTTCAAATTTTTTTAAAAATAATGACTCCAGGAGAAAATCAATTTATTTGTGTTAGAGTTAGGAAGAATGATGACTTTTATTGATATTGTATGACGGCTACCCTAGGTTTAGCCCAGATTTCAAAAAACCATACTGACCATGGCTCACAATCGATTTACCGGGGAGTAATGTTTCAACATCCGCCATTGGGGATTACTTTTCATTCGGGCAAAGGAAAAAAAAGATTTTTATAGCAAACAACTCGCTAGAAACGTTGAAGTTGTATCTCTTGTTGTCAAAGCCGCCATTTGTTTGAATGAAAGATTTTCTGTGGTTCCCCTTTTGCTACATTGATCTATAGGGGATGCTATTATTGTTACAGCTACATCTAGTAATTTTCGGATACTCATTTCTCTTAATATTTTTAACAAGAAAAATCGATTTGTTTTAGAAATTGTAGATTCAGAAAAGAACTTTGCGACTAAATGCAATGACACTCTCCATGCATTATACTGGTGGACTTTTCCTTGGATTTGGCGGGAAAACTGACGTCAAAACGCGCGTGCCTTACCCTCAATACAGGGCACTCGTTAACGTTCCTACAACTATTGACTCAGCCTGATTGGTTGAAATGAGTGTTTGCTCAATTTTATAATTCTACTTATCATCTGCCTGAGCTAACGGTTTAAATTTGCTAACTTTGGCCCGAATCTTGTAAGAAGATTAGTTTGTCTTGGTTATCAAAACTGGATTAGTACTTATCAGGGTCTGAACAACTAAACCCTGGCGCCTTCATTTTTTAAGTACTGCAGAATTTCTTTCCGTAGGATAATAAAGCATAACCCCAAATCTGATCAAAAACTCAGCTGTGTTTTCAAATTTAATGGCCAAACCCTCTCTCAAACCTCAGACTCCGATCTACAGAGTGGGATTTCTTTCTTCCAGGAATTTGTTAGGATCCAGGAATTTATTAGGGGTGTCCCAAATGAAAAAATGGATATAGAAATATTATGCATCGCTTCAAAGACGCGTAAGAGTAATAACGGTGTTAGGGGGGTGTCAGGTGCACCGCAGGACACCCCCTGTATCCGTCCCTAGATGAGGGTAATTTGAGGGAATTACAAGATATGAACCATATTTATTAGCCAACAAAAAATCTTTCTCTTGCAATATTAGTACAATAACTTTTGTAATTTAGTGGAATTATTTAATGATCTTGTAAAAAAAAGTTCAGCAAAATTGTACTCTAAATATTTAGGAATCTTTGCTTGAGCCTTTTCTTCACGATATCAGACATTACAAGCGCAATTTAATGGAATTATAAATATTGTTGCTTGGACATTTTATTACCAAAAGGTGTATAAAAGTGAGTTCTATTACGACTAGCTATTCCCCAGCTTTGAACTGTTTTAATAGAAGTCAGTGTAAACAGAGCCAAATCGTAGCTTTCGTTGTTTTAAAATGGACATCAAAGTATTAACAGTTTTTCTAGTGGTTATGGGTTCTGTACTGCTTGCTCAACAAGGTCACTGCTTTACAGCTGGAGCAGGGAACGTCATCAAGCGATTCCAAGCTGAAAATGTAGGTATTCCTCGATAGACTATGATATGTATCGAGCAAGGGACAGTGAACGAGGCTAAAAAAATAAATTCTAGTTTCAGGGGAAAAAACTTATCACATAAAACAAGCTTATTGACCAAGTTTCAGTATTTTTTGATACATAGATAAACGATTCTATTAGCATTTAAACACTGCCAAAAGTATTTTTATCTAATTACAAATATATTTGCAGGAGTATTTGTAGTCCTAGACTTTCAAATTATATACAAAAGGCAATGGGTGGTAGAATGAGTAGAATAAGTGGACAAGTATCTTAGCAAAGTATTTATGTAACTTAGTTAGAATTCTAATCGAAAGGTTTGTTTGAAAGAGAGCTAGCCAAAAATCAATATCCAAACCAGACTTACGAGTGTATTTGATTTACGAATTAGCGTAATCACGTGATCACAATTGCTGTACCACACCCTTCACTATCATATCCGTTCACTTTATACTTGTACCATAAAATCTTATAGTACCAAATAGTAGCATGACATAGGTTGTATTCTTTCTAGATCGATCGACGATCGTTGTCGTCTTTTTGCCGAACAGCAAGTGAACTGTGTTCAGCACCGGTAGATGATACCCACAAGAGAACTTTATCGGATGCTTAGGGATAGAGATGGCATGTACAATGGCGACTCTGGTTCTCTCACCAGAAAAAAAATTGTAAACTTAAAAAATTAGTTTCGCTGATCGACTTGGCTTAAAGTTAACTGTAATGTGTTAAATCTTTGCTTGTTAAAAAAACCTATTTGACCCAACAGCTATTTGACACATAGAAAAGTCTTACCTACGTACTTAATCTAGTCGTAAATAAAACCTATGTATTGTAAGTATGTTAATAAATATCACCTAGGCCGATGAAAACGTAGTAAATAAATGGTTTATAGTAGTGATAGTGATGAGTTTATGTGCTATGCATTCTGAGGGCGGGTAGGGTAGGGGATGAGATGGGATGGGATAATGTGAGTGTTCAACCCTTCAACACCAGGGTCGAGGAAAGTAGGGTTAACGCGCACGTCTAAGACAATTTATTTGTGGAAATATCCAGTATACTAAATTCCAATGTGATCTGTAAGTTTGCTGGCCATGCTCTGAAGTTTTTTATCAGCCCAAAGGTTGTTTCAAGGCATTGAAATTTATGTTTATCCTTATGGCAGACAATCCTTTTATAATCTGTCCAGTTATTGCTGTTTCGTTGGTCAGCGTATTCATTCATTGAGTCACGCGTCAATAAACATAATTTTCATATTCTGCATCGTTTGAAAATATTCTTTCCAATGCGAAGTGACCATCAGATACTGAGGCAATTATCTTCGAATATTTAAGGTTTTACTGCACCAAGCACTCAGTCTGGTATTGAATATTCAGCAGCAGTGACACAGTGACGAGGAAAAAAGGTAAATTTGCCTAAATATTGAGATTAAATGTTTGAATCTGCTGGATAAATGGCGATGTTTATATTAGATTTAATGCACTCGCATCCACATGTAGGTGAAATTGCAAGAGCCTTTTTTACAGATAGAAAGCTGTAGATGAAACTAATCTTTTGAATTTTTCTAAGTGTAATAGAAATAGTGTGGGGGGTAGCCAGGGGATAGGGTCATTCGATTCATTTGCAATGCTTGACCAAAAAAAAGCCGAGGGGAGGGGAGGCTTGAATTCTTATGCTATCAGTGCTCAGGGTTTCTCACTTAGTATCATCATATAAGTGTTTCCGGTAATTAACGAACAATTAGGTTGCAATAGGTATCAAATAATTTCTTCTCTCGCGTAAAATGTTAAGTAGTGACACAATAAAAGTTCGAGATGGTTAAACATGCATAATGTGTACTTTCCCGGCTATTTTGGGTAACAGAACAATAATACTCAAGGGCTAAGCCTTCACATAGATTTTTCTTTCATTGTTCCAACCACTAAACACGAATAGCTTCGCTCATAGCTTCGCAAAAAGTGGTTACAAACTAGGAATTCGGATGAATAAATTAATATTTCTTCGTCAAATTCATCTTCACGTACCTTCACTTTTCGTCATGCCTGATGCGATCAAGGACAATGCATTGACAGGTTACTTAAAATAAACGAGCCGGCTTTTAAAATGTTGCTATTTGAATTCAAGCAATCAAAACTAATAACCTCTTAGGAGACACAGATCTGATACACTTTGCAAACAAACAAAAAGCGTATTACAGACATACAAGATCCGTTAACTCCTTTGGTGACAGGTATAGTTAGTAACTCCAAGAAGAAAGTACAAATAACAAACTGAAAGATATTGCAGGCAACTCGTGGAATTGATATTGTGCATGCAATGCTCAGCCGATTTGCTGTTTAGGCCATATTTCTTGGAATGGCTCTATGCCTTAATGCTCTTTCACATTTGAGTGGGGAAAATATACCTTCGCCGCAAACGTCCGCAACGAACTCTACTGGTAAGTATTTTAAAGTTAAATCCCAACATTTTACCATTCGACACTAGTAAATGCATAAGGCTTCCATTTTCGTGCTCTATTTGTTGTTACAATCCATTAAATATTTGGATGTTGCATACTGCATGGGAGAAGAAGTGACTTCCTTTAATCATATTTTTCATTAGTTCCATATCCTCGGTACACTGACCGGAAGTCTAGCAAAGAAATCATCTTCCTGTATACGTTAAAACATGAAATTGCAAAACAAAAAATTTTAAAAATAATTGGTAAAAAAAGAAAATAAATTGGTTTCTTCATTTGCAGATTTCAGATGTGAAAGAAAGCCTAGAAGAACTGTGTCTTTTCACCAGAAAACACTGTCTTAACTTAGCAGATACAGCTGAAAGACAATCTCTTGTGGATGTTTTGATGCATGCAAGAAGACGACAAGCAAGAAGAGTGCAGAAAGCCTTGAAAAAAGTTTGTAAGGCTTCATCCAATGTTTGCCTATGACATATCTGTTCAGCCAACGTTTGTTCAAATACAATACTGAACATCTGCAAAAAGTTGAAAAAAGACATGCCTCAAAAATATTCTTTATTTTTTGGGAACCGACAGTATTTTGATGTGATCAAATGGAATAGTTGATAAAAGAACGCTGGCAATAACCTAGTCATAATATTTCGATAACCATTACCGCCGGGCAGTTATCTTTGACGGAATCATTACCTCGAAGACAGTTTGTAAAACTTCAAAACAATTTTGCGATCATATTGGAGACCGGTTACTTCTATACCAAATCAAGGACTGACTAAAATCCAGAAAGCGTGCCATGAGTTAAAGCTTGTATCAGTATCACTATCTTCTTTCTAGAAGTAAAAGCAGAATTTCAATACATTGGAGCAAGGACAACACTAAGCAAGCCCCACAGGGTGACCTTGTGTTGTCAAGGAAACCTACATCTCTATATCGTCTCCACCCTTGTCTTCGTAGTAATTATATCTAGGGTGAGATAGGGAGTGGAATTGATGTATTTCCGTAGCCGTAGCACCGTGAATTCATTGTAGGAGTGGCAGGCCCTTTACCTAGTAAACATAACGAATACCTGTAAGAAAATAACTATAGACAGGGGCGGCGGAAGCTGAAAATCTTTTGGGGGGACTGACGGGAAATATTAAATTTTAACGCTGTGATAATGACCGCTGTTTTGTTTGATTGCAGACGCATGCGCCGTAAAACTATGACTGAAAACCAATATTTTGTGCCCCCCCCCCCCCCCCCCTCCCCGGTTCCGCCGCCCCTGATAAGACAATTTCATCAGCTTTTTACCTTTGTAAAACATATAAAGAATTAAGAATTTTAAAAAATTGTAACCAACTCTAAACTGATCGAACCCGAAAACTGTCTTTATTTTTTTCTAGGAACACTCACACTAATAAAATATCTTGTCCTTCAAAAACATTTCATTATTTCTTGCCCTACATCATGGCTGACGTAAAAAATAATCTATATATCGGTTTTTAATCTGATTTCTTATCGGTGTTTATCCCTGTCAGTTTACTTTTCAATTCATCTATTTTTGCTTCAAGTACAAAGAGTATTATTTTGCATCATACTTTCCTCTAAAGCTTTCCTCTAGTACTACGTCCTGTAAGCTTTGCCAACACCGAATTTTAATGTAAGATATCTACTAAGGTTGGATATTAACCCCATACTACGACTACACGCGTACCATTCGACTGAGGTCAGATGTTTTTACACCTGTAATAGATACGTCTCAAAACAAAACAGCTACATCACTTCCTCGCCGGGAACAGTGCAAATTTGGAAAAGGAAAGAATTAAAGAAGTTTTGGAATTTTCTTCCTTTATAATTTAATAGGCTACATAAATATATATATATATATATATCATGAGTCATTTGCTATAATAGCTATTAGGAAGATATTGATATTGTTTCTTATCAATATACCATAACATCTTATAAGTACACGCATCCTGATTGGTTGGTGCATCAAGGCATGTGAAAAGACCTAAAAAGACAGTGATATTGGGTGCCTCCATTGAGTATGTTCCGCTTGGACAAAGGAAATAAAATGAACTCTATTTTTGTACATATGGCCATCTATGAGGAACAGTACTTGAAAATGAAATCATTAGGCAAGAAAGAAAAAAAAAAGAATATTGTTTGAGTACGAGATGGCTTTTTAAAAAGCTCGAACTTTCATTTGGCTTCGCTGTTTTCCAATCTTCTTTCTCTCTCTTTAAACACAGATTTTTTTATTTATTTTACACTCCAGATGTTCATAGATATTTATCATAAGATCCGATTTCTTTGCTATACTTGTTTATATTGCATCACTGTCCTCAAGTACGCACAAAAGTTCCACCTTCCACTCAGCTCATCTTTGTCATCATGACTATGTTTATAATTTGGCAATTTGTTCCCTCTCTTATTCCTTTATTACCTTTAATTCCGTATGGAATTTTCAAAATTACAGTTTTCAAACTTCAAAACGTCAAAACATTTTGATTCCCATTGGTGAAATTTACTGCTGAGCAAACACGCTTTCTACAACCGGTTTCGAGAGATCGTAATAAAACTGCATTTCGTGTCACACTGGTTACAGTTAATCAGCTACATCAGCTAAAAAAGAATCACCAGTTTAAAATAAAAACAAAAATTTTGCTCTCGAGTACAGACACGTGACCGTTAACTGCAAAGGGCCTATTGATGTCAGACTTCATTGATAGTTTAATATAGTAATCTATTTTAACTCAATAAGATCTATATATTTTACTTCTTTCCGTCATTCATCTCGAGTACATAGTTCCTGGTTTCTATTTGTAGAAATATTGAACCTGCTGCCACAAATGGGAATTTTTGAGCGGAAAGTTTTCTGAAGTCAGTTTTAGCTGACGTTAGTTTTCAAAAACAGATTTTAAATTAGCATATTTTTTTTCGTTTTAATAATTGACTATATATTTTTGAACTCATATCGAAGTTCAAGTGTTGAAATATTATCTAGCCTTTAGTCACTGCTTTTGAAATCTGTAACATTTAATATGGATAACAAGTACTCCTTGACACATACCAACCTGATTACGAGCTAATCATCTTATACAACATACGATACTTAACCCACTAGAGGTCAAAACAATGGCTCACCATGACAACACAGAGTGTTACCCATTCACAAGTCTATTTAAGGTTGCACTTTGCTATGCCGAGTGGACAAGAATGAGGGCTCGTCCCTAGGTGCTATTAAAGATAAAGGAATACGTCATTAAAAGAATATCCTCCCATTGGCTAAATTTATCGCAGAAAAGAACTAGCAGTACAGATGTCGACACAGAAGGGCATGGCTTTATTTTGTCTTTATCCAAATAGATCCATGGCAATAGGCTTCCCTTACGTGGACTCTATTTTGGGTTTTTGTGTTTGAAGTAAATAAAAGGAAGTGGATCAGATGGTGAGACATCAAAGAACGAGCTCTCCTTTGAACAGCAAGAAATAGTGTAAGAAAAGAACACCATCAGAACCTCGAAGATACTAAGACATTAATTACTAAGGAGACCTCTTTTTGGAGACTGATTCAACATGACAAAACTCATTCATCTTGCTGCATTCATTTTCATTTTATCCATGGTTTGTGCTGATGCTTTCCATATAGGCGTTGGTAAGGTTGGTCGAAGAAGGAAGAGAACAGTCAAGGTAAGAAACATCTCATTTACAATGAACATTTTATGGATGATAGTCTTTTCCTGTTATTTCGATTAAGATGGTATGTTTAGATGTTTGAATATCATCGGCTACATCTTTTACCTCACGATCATCCGCAAATTAATTGTAAAATACTAGGCTAGTTTCTTTTTTATTATTTTTTTCCTCTGTTGTTATTCGTTTTCCATTGTATTTTCATTTGCTCTGCGTTTGGTTGAACCAACGCTTAGATTTTCATCAACGCCGTTTTCTTTTTCATCTTTATCTTCATCATCGATCATCAGTCTTCTTCTTCTCCTTTCTTCTTCTTCTTCTTCTTGTTCTTGTTCTTCTTCTTCTTCGTCTTCATCTTCTACTTCTTCTTCTTATTATTATT